AGAAGAGAAGAGAAGAGAAGAGAAGAGAAGAGAAGAGAAGAGAAGAGGGACCTTGGAGGTCTTCTAGTCCAGTCTCCTGCTCAAGCAGGAGAACCTATACTATTTTAGACATGTGATTGTCCAATCTCTTCTTAAAAACCTCCAGTGATGGAGTGCCCACAACTTCTGGTGGCAAGCTGTTCCACTGGTTAATTGTCCTCACTGTTAGGAAGTTTCTCCTTAATTCCAGGTTGCTTCCCTCCTTGATTAGTTTCCATCCATTGTTTCTTGTCCTGCCTTTTGGTGCTTTGGAGAATAAGTTGCCCCTCTCTCCTTTGTGGCAGCCCCTCAAATACTGGAATACTGCTCTCATGTCTCCCCTAGTCTTTCTTTTCTCTAGACTGGCCATACCCAAATCCTGTCAACATCCATACAAGTGAATGCAACTTAGCTCTTTCCTCTGAGATCATGGTATTGGGCTGAGTGTACGTGACTGAAAAAAAAAAGCTTGAGCAAGCTTTCTTTTGTTTGTTTTTATGCCTTTGAGTCAATAGTGATACCTGGAAACTTGTCTCTACAGTCCTCAGGGCAAGTTGCTTCAGAAGTATCTCTGGACACCTGCATAACTGGATAGAAGCATTCCTGTCAAACAGACAACAAATGGTCAAAATTGGGAGCGTCCTATCAAATTCTGTACCTGTCAACAGTGGTGTCCCCCAAGGGAGTGTTCTAGGACCAACTCTCTTCATACTCTACATAAATGACCTCTGTGATCATATTAAGAGCAACTGCGTTCTCTTCGCTCTATGACATAAAGCTATTCAACACTACGGACAATACTGCTACCCTTCAAAAAGACCTTGACTATGTATCAGAATGGTCAAACAAATGGCAACTTCAAATCTCAACAAATAAATGCTTTGTCTTACATATTGACAAAAAAAATCAGAAAATAAAATACAGGCTGAATAGTCAAGACCTTGTTGATAATCCAAACTCTGCCAAGGATCTTGGAGTTCTCATCTCTAATGATCTAAGTGCTAGAGCCCACTATAATTACATAGCCAAAAAGGCGTTAAGAGTTGTTAACCTAATCTTACATAACTTTTTCTCTGGTAATATTACACTAATAACTAGAGCATACAAAACATTTGCTAGACCAATACTTGAATACAGCTCATCAGTCTGGAACCCACATTACGTATCTGATATTAATACAGTTGAGAAAGTCCAGAAATATTTCACAAGAAGAGTTCTCCACTCCTCTACCCGTTGCAGAATACCTTATACCACCAGACTTGAAATTCTAGACATAGAAAACCTAGAACTACGCCGCCTCTGGTCCAATCTAAGTATAGTATATAAAACCATACATTGCAATGTCCTACCTGTCAATGAATACTTCAGCTTCAACCATAACAACACAAGAGCAAACAATAGATACAAACTCAAGGTTAATCGCACCAAACTTGATTGCAGGAAATACGACTTCAGCAAAAGAGTGGTCAATGTCTGGAAAACTCTACCTGACTCTGTGGTTTCTTCTGCAAACCCCCAAAACTTTAACCTTAGACTGTCTACTATTGACCTCACCCCTTTCCTAAGAGGTCTGTAGGGGGCGTGCATAAGCGCACCAACGTGCCTACCGTCCCTGTCCTATTGTTTCTTTTATTTTTCTTATATGTATCCATGTATTGATAACTATGTTTTTACTTATACCTATTATCTTGTAAGCAATTGACAAACCAAATAAAATAAAAAATAAATAAATAAAATTAAATTAAATTAAAAAGTAGTTTGCCATTGCCTCCTTCCTACAGTGGAAAGAACATGACTGGCCCCAAATCACCCAGTTGGCTTTATGCCTGAGTGGGATATAACCTCCCCATTTCCTGGTTTTCTATCCTTAACAACCGCATCAAGCTGGCTCTCTAAGCGAAGGTTAGATAAAAGACAACCAGGAAATGACAGAGAACAGTAGGTTGAAAGTTACAAAAGCATCCTGATACTGTGAGTTATGCAGAGTTTATAGGTCATTGTAAATTCTCCCCTTCCTAGAGAGATTGCCAGGGAGGGCAGACAATTTTTATTGTCTGACTTTCTCCTCCAGGATTCAAACCCAGCTATTAGGAGTGCAGTGGCAAAATTCTGTGTTGCTGCAATGTCTACTAAAAAAAATGGGTTACAGAATTATAGCTGTCAATGTGTGACAATTTTGGGAGATAGAACCATCTTTGGAAAATGATATTTACACACATACTTATTGGCTCTCCATTCATATAAACCAGGGAGTGCCCCGAACTGTTTGAAAGCATGTATTTTCTTAACGGATGTTTTTATCCACTATTAATGTATTATAATGTGTCAGTATTTTTATATATATATTGTAAATAGTGATCTCTATTGCTGGTCTAAGACCATAATAAAGTTCTATTCTATTCTATTCTATTCTATTCTATTCTATTCTATTCTATTCT